CTGTTGGCATTGCTACTCAAGATCCTGTGCTTCGAGAAAAATTTGCTGGAGAACCTGAACATGTCATTAACTTTTTCTTTATGCTTGCTGAGGAAGTGAGAGAGATAATGTCTCAGCTTGGTTTCCGAACACTTAATGAGATGGTTGGCCGTTCTGATATGCTTGAAGTTGATAAGGAAGTCCTAAGTAATAATGAGAAGCTTCAGAATATTGATCTCTCCTTATTACTCAGACCTGCTGCTGACATTCGCCCTGAAGCTGCTCAACATTGTATTCAAAAACAGGATCATGGCTTGGATATGGCTTTGGACCAAAAGCTCATTAAACTATCTAAAGCTGCTCTAGAGAAAGGTCTTCCTGCATACATTGAAACACCTATATGCAATGTGAACCGTGCAGTTGGAACAATGCTTAGCCATGAAGTAACTAAGCGCTATCACTTGGCAGGGCTTCCTGCTGGTACCATCCATATCAAACTCTCAGGAAGTGCAGGACAGAGCCTGGGCTCTTTCCTGTGCCCTGGCATCATGCTGGAACTTGAAGGTGATAGCAATGACTACGTTGGTAAAGGATTATCAGGTGGCAAAATTGTTGTTTATCCTCCAAAAGGTAGCCGGTTTGATCCTAAAGAAAACATAGTAATTGGTAATGTGGCTCTCTATGGAGCTACTTGTGGGGAAGCATATTTCAATGGAATGGCAGCAGAAAGATTTTGTGTTCGTAATTCGGGTGCCAAAGCAGTTGTAGAAGGTGTTGGTGATCATGGTTGTGAGTACATGACAGGTGGGACTGTTGTTGTGCTTGGGAAAACTGGGAGGAACTTTGCCGCAGGCATGAGTGGTGGTATTGCATATGTGCTTGATGTGGATGGGAAATTTCAATCTCGATGCAATCCTGAGCTGGTAGACCTTGATAAAGTTGAAGAAGAGGAGGATATTATGACTCTTAAAATGATGATTCAGCAACATCAGCGTCATACAAACAGCCAGTTAGCGAGAGAAGTACTTGCTGACTTTGAGAATCTTCTGCCCAAATTCATAAAAGTCTTCCCCAGGGATTACAAGCGCGTTCTAGCAAAGGTGAAAGAAGAGGAAGCTTCTAAGGAGGCATTGGAACGTGCTGCAAAAGAATCTGAGGAGCGAGATGAAGCAGAGTTGGTGGAGAAAGATGCTTTCGAAGAGCTCAAGAAGTTAGCAGCTAATTTGATGAATAAGGAATCAAGTCAGGTATGTTGTATTTGTTATTACTATGTTTTCTTATATTACTTTTACAAAGTCTCTGCTTCCACCTAGCAATTTAGCTTCTCTTTCCTCCTTTTGTCAATTTAACTTTTATCTTTTTTCTTTTCTATTTGATTTTTTTCATTAAAATTTAGTGTTGGTGAGGTAAACCTGCCTTCTTCCTCTTTCTCTTTTTCTCTTTTGTGTTCAACTCGTCTCCAGAAATCTTCAATTTGTTAATTTTGTATTACACCTTTTGTGTATTGCTCCCCACTTCTTTCTGGTGTTTGGTTGCTATCTTCTTTATACTGCCTATTGGTTTCATGCACAATTTGTTTAGATCTAATTTGACTTTTGGATCTTATAGGAAGGAGAGGCCAAACCAGTCAAGAGGCCTTCTCGGGTTCCTGATGCTGTGAAACATCGTGGTTTTGTTGCTTATGAGCGTGAAGGCGTACAATACAGGAATCCTAATGTCCGGATGACTGACTGGAAGGAGGTCATGGAGGAATCAAAACCTGGCCCACTTTTAAAGACACAGTCTGCTCGTTGCATGGACTGTGGTACTCCTTTCTGCCATCAGGTATTGATTACTACTTTTACTCTTTTCTTTGTCATGTTGGAAATGAATTACACAAAACACAGCTTAAATTTAAGATCTCTTTTGTTTTCATAAATGCAGGAGAACTCTGGATGCCCTCTCGGAAACAAGATACCTGAATTCAATGAGCTAGTGTACCAAAATAGGTGGCGTGAAGCACTGGATCGTCTTCTAGAGACAAATAACTTTCCAGAGTTCACTGGCCGAGTGTGTCCTGCGCCATGTGAAGGGTCTTGTGTTCTGGGTATTATTGAGAATCCTGTGTCCATCAAAAGCATTGAATGTGCTATCATAGATAAGGCATTTGAGGAAGGGTGGATGGTGCCACGGCCTCCGCTCAAGAGAACAGGGTATGGCTTGTTATTCCCTCAGTATATCTAACTAGAGGCTATGTTACATTTCAAGTTGTTCATTTTAAACCACTTCATTAGTTTTTTGGTTGGGGGTTCAAGTGAAGTTTTAAAATCTTGTGGCAAAACTCAATTGAGATGCCTATGCTTCTTTGAACAAGATTGATGTATTCTAGAAGTTTATATGTTCACTAAAGAAGTATAATTTGATATATGTTTATGATTACAGGAAAAGTATTGCTATTATCGGAAGTGGACCAGCTGGTTTGGCTGCTGCTGATCAGCTAAATAGAATGGGTCACTCAGTGACTGTGTATGAGCGTGCCGATAGAATTGGAGGGCTTATGATGTATGGAGTCCCTAACATGAAGGCTGACAAGGTTGATGTAGTTCAACGGCGGGTTAACCTTATGGCTGAGGAAGGAGTTAAATTCGTGGTCAATGCAAATGTTGGAGTTGACCCTTCCTATTCCCTTGACCAGCTACGAGAGGAAAATGATGCCATTGTCTTGGCAGTGGGAGCCACAAAACCCAGGTAAATCTTGGATGGAAGAAAGCTGTTGATTATCAACCATATTTGGAGATGTATCAGTATTTTTGCTACCAATCTTTCTTTCTTGAGGGATTCTGACTCTTTAACAATCAGATGATGATGGCTTAGCCAGAAAGGATAATTTAATGATACTTAGATAATCAACTATATATTGGCTGAATAATTGAATGCATTTGTTTATTTGATGCAGGGACCTTCCTGTTCCAGGACGGAATTTATCTGGTGTTCATTTTGCAATGGAATTCCTTCATGCAAACACTAAAAGTTTGCTTGATAGTAATCTCCAAGATCGCAACTATATTTCTGCTAAGGGCAAGAAAGTAGTGGTCATTGGTGGTGGTGACACTGGTACAGATTGCATAGGGACATCTATCCGCCATGGGTGTAGTAGCATTGTAAATCTTGAGTTACTTCCTCAGCCACCACAAACTAGAGCTCCTGGCAATCCTTGGCCACAGGTTTCACAGTTGATCCTCCGTTTCCTGATGATTTTTTGCTGTGCTTTCTAATATGTTAAAGGAAAAAGAATATAGGTTCTTAATGGATTATTAATCATGATAGTAGCTGTCATTTTTTTAAATGTTCATTTCATTTTCGTTTCTCGTTTTCCTTCTGAACAACTAAAATGCATTAGACAGTAAAATCCTTTTTTTCTGGGTCTGCTTGATTTGTTATTGCTGCTAAGTGTGACCGATTCCCAAGTAATTTAAACTTATAAGATGGAAGTTGGGTTCGGGATATTAAATGGAAGAGCTGAGAGTTGAAATGGAATATTTAGTGCTTAGACATCTTATGTGACTGATTCCCCCGTTTTTCTGGAATTGTAGTGGCCTCGCATATTCCGTGTAGACTATGGACACCAAGAAGCTGCTGCCAAATTTGGGAAAGACCCAAGATCCTATGAGGTTTTGACTAAGAGATTTGTGGGAGATGAGAATGGAACTTTGAAAGGACTTGAGGTGGTACGAGTGCATTGGGAAAAGGATGCCAGTGGGAAGTTCCAGTTCAAAGAAGTTGAGGGCTCTGTGGAAATAATTGAGGCTGACTTAGTCCTGCTAGCCATGGGGTTCCTCGGGCCTGAGTCGGTGAGTATTGTAAACACTCCCTTTTTATAATCCTTTTGTGGCTATCAGGTTTTAATGCTTTCTGTACTGATACCTGAATGCTAGTTGGTGCCTTCGATTATTGGATTTAACTTAGGCAGCCCAAGTCCTTCTATGATTAACAATGTCATGTTACTTGATGCTATTATATTTATTATAAACCTGGTGCGGTTCTCTTAGTTTATTCGATATGTATACATTTATAGAAAAGCATTTGCATGGTTAGATCGTTGCTCATCCATTTTTTTGCTCTTTGATTTTAAAGACTGTGGCAGACAAGTTAGGTTTGGAGCAGGACAACCGATCAAACTTGAAGGCAGAGTATGGTCGCTTTGCAACCAATGTGAATGGAGTCTTTGCTGCTGGAGATTGTCGTCGTGGTCAGTCATTAGTTGTGTGGGCAATCTCAGAGGGAAGGCAAGCTGCTGCACAAGTTGACAAATACCTGACTAGGAAAGATGAAGACTTAAGTGTTGATGGCGATAGCCAGGAAGATCTTGTCAAGAGGCATCAAGACCTTGCCCAGAGGCAGCAAACGGTAATGACATAAGTGATATTGATTGTTACTATTTGTGACAATTTGCTGAATGAAGATCAATCTGGTTGAGAATAGAGAAAGAGTTTGCAAAGGGGGTTGTCACATGGATGACCACTGCAGGAAATAAGCATAATCTTTTGGATAACCACTAAGGGATGCTTAGTCCTCAGCGAAAGGACCTGGGAAGGCTTAGTTGTAGTAGGGTAAGGCACTCGCAGAAGGTTGAGCAAAAATCAATAAACGACTTCCATGGGACTGGTATAGGTTTGGGGATATTTTATCTTTCATATGTATCATCTTGTTTATAGGTTTTACCCGGCTTGTTTCAAGGTTTGCTCTCATGGTTGTCATAAAGGAATAATGTACAGTTTTGTTTCTTAATCGTTCATTGAGATTAAAAAAGGTGGGGATTTTTTTTATATTTATTGATTCTTGAGATTGGATATCCTTTTTACAGAAAAGAAAATTCAGTTAACACTCGCTGCAATTTGTCTTATTCCACTAAAAATTGAATTAAGGTAATTTCCTATTTTAAAAAAGAAGGGTAAAATGCATAAAACCTTTGTACCCTGATAGCAAAATGATTTGAGTGTCCTTCATCGTGCTGAAAAGGATCGATGGCTAGGCTTACGGTAAATTGCGACAAGACTAAACCCGACATTGCCTATTGACGAAACAGAAATTCCTTGTACATATTATTTGACTGAGAATGTACTCTCACCCATGACGGCTCATAAAGATGATCGGAGATCTCTCCATCCCAGTTCGCAAGTCTTTTAACACATTAGTAGTTACATTCTGAAAATCTGTTTCACGGCACAACAAAGGAAGATAATAGACCAGATTGATTGCGTTGCTTGATGAGGCTTGTCCTCTGAAAAGTCAGAAGCAGCCCCCCAACTGCAAGGTAATGGAAACACGTTAGAAGAAAAAGGAAAAGAAAGCCAGAAATATTTTCCATTTCCCCATTTATTTTGCCTTACCAGAATAGCCTCTATTTCCCTCTCAGAGACAGGTGTACGTTTTGGGAGAAGAGATGCTTTTCCTCCTACAGCAGTGTTGATGGGTGGTGCTGGAACATCTGACCTTGACCTTGTAATGAATCTATCGATGATGTTCCCATCTTTGGGTCTTGCTTGCGTTTCAGACACACAACCTGCATAACATAAACTTGGAAATGATTTTGCAACATAAATGGCAACTTGAATACAAAATGAGATCGGTTTGGAGAATAAACCAAGGACAAGGCTTTAAAATCCTGGTTCCCATCCTTTATAGCCGACCAAGGAACACAGAAACGCTCATGCAAATGTGGTCCGAAATCTGATTCTGCAGTTAGGAGTTGCACTCTTATTTATCCGACCTCTCCTCCATCACAGCACCTTTATTTTATCACACGACTTAACCAACTTGCAATATCATATCACTAAACTTAACGAAACAAGTCATCATAATTCGCCTCAAAATACGTAGAGTCAGTGGAACTTCAATATCTAATATAATAGAATTAGATGATGGAATGCAAATACAACAGGAGTTATTGGATTCTTTAGTCTCAAAATTGTTGGGTTTTAAATTGATTAGAATTTTAAATTTTATTTGATTAAAATTTTTGTTTGTGTATAATATTAAATAATTTTTGTAGTTTTAAATTTTTTGTTTCGCATTGAATCTTAATCTCATTCTATTATAAAAATGGTTTTCAAGATTTAAAAAAAATGCAGAGTGAGCCAAAAGCGAGGTAATACTTCGTAACTCTATTTTTTGTTTTCGGTGAAGCTAGACTTGTTTTTGTTCTAAATGGAGCTAGAGCGGGTGTGATTGAGTGTGTTCTTGTGAAGCTATTGAGAGAAGGCATACAAAGGGTCATAGATTGGTTTGGGAAACTATAGAGATGGATTTTATTATATGTTAATTTTTCAATAATAAAAGAACAGTTTCATTTCAGTTTATGGACATAAACAAAGAGATCGAATCAGGAAAATTTTTGTTTTTTTTTTCTTATTTCATAACAAATATTCTGCAAGTAGGTATGCCACAGCCAAATTTACTAGACTCCTTTGCTCACAGAAGTTATTATGTCTTTGGGTTGTGTTCATCATGCATTTCTTTGTATAGTCCAGCTATTTGTTGCTTTTAGCCTTTCGTTTTTTAGCAACTTACACAATCAGTTCAAACCAAATCCATCCCACTTTTCTCATCGTCTACTGCTTACCAAAATCTAGTTTTCATTAACAGACCATCAGCAGCCTTCCCTATTGCTATTTGCTGAAAATTTTCACTGTTGATATTGCTTTCGTGATGGGAGGGAGGGAGAGAGAGAGAGAGAGAGCAAGGGCATGCGTCATATTTTGTGCTTGATGGGAACGGTTTAGGGGTTCACAGGTTGGGATTCATCTCTGTAATAAAGTTCAACGAGGGTATTCATGAGAGCCTTTTCGTTGCACTGACTCTTGTGTGAATAGGGATACGGAGGCTTTTTGACTTTTTACAAATCCGGTTATGAGCTGGTTTGGGTGATTTAGCACTGTTATTCTCAACTGCGTCTAACAGGGCCAAATCTTTCTTGTAAGCTCTCAGAGGGGAACGATTGCTTCCCTCTGTTTTGTTAATAATACACATTGAATTTTCAAAAAATAATAAAAAAAAAAGGTCACCAGCAGTGTTCTTAGCAAATATCCATCTCAAATGCTCCTTTGATCAGGAAAAAGGATACTTCCAAAAAAAAAAAGAAAAAAAAAAGGAAAAATCGACATAATCTATAGTTCAGACTGGATTTCCCACCGACCAAAGCAACAAAGAACACGTCTAGTACTTTGATCGGAAGAAAACGCATGAATTAAACTGAAGATCATCAAATGAAATAAATTCTCAAACAATAACAGAGATTTAAGGGTAGATGAGGATAACCAACCTGCTGATTTTGGAACACAACGTAAAAATGAAACTCTATTTCAAAACTAGGAACACGAAAACCAGACGAGACGATGAACCCAAAGAGGCCAAAAACTTACAACGTAAATGATAAAAAAGAAAGAGGAGTGACCTGAGGCAGAGGGTTTCGGGTGTCTTTGAGGGAATTTAATGCGTGGAATTCTCTTCAGTGCCTGCTCTGCTCCCATCTTCCAGACTTCACTTTACCTTCTTCTCCGCTCTGCTCTGCTCTGCTTGTCCGACCCTTGGAAGTTGAGGTAATCATTGCTATCTGGTAACAAACCTTTTATTTTTATCTAATCGGATCAAGTCAAGAACCTATTTAGTAATAAATAAATTACCGCTTTCCAACTTTTACCGTACTCTTTGTTTAACTTAAGCACAAATTTTGGCGTTGTATCCCCGCGGTTATTTTTTTACCTCTCCTTTAAGACAAAACAGGAAAGGGTACGCAGAAACAACAGCTAGGATTGAAGTCCTCTGGGTAGGGACTGGATTCTGCTGCGAAGAACTCTCTGGAGGTTTCTTGCCCTTTCACATGACCGAGCATTATCACTCGAAATTAAGATTTTTATCCAAGTTTTCAGTCACCCTTACTCCATAATAAGGTCTAAAGCTTAGGTTTGGACACAGTCCCGTCGTGGAATCAATTTGTCCGTCATTCCTCGTGGAAAATATCTATCTGCACATAAACCATCTTTCATTGTCTTATTTAAGTTTGTCTAACCCTAACAATAATTACCCACAGTATTTTCATATGCATATATAAATATAAATATAAGTATATTCCATGATAATCCACTATTAATAAATAATGTTTTAGAATCCCTTTTATTTGCTTGCTCCACAAACCTTTGGCATCTTCCAATTCATAAACAAATTGTAAATACTTCCTTTCTTTAATGCTTTTTAGCTTTTATATGTATATTCTTTGGGTTGGGGTTTGGAATTTAATTGCACTTTGGGCCCAACTGCAGTACTATTTTGGGCCTTAAGCCCTTTTTTACAGTTTACACGTTGCAAATTTTTAGCATCAAAACGTGGCTGCAGTATCGAACACCAACACGACGCGTGCTTAAGGTTCCCCGCCCAGTCTTTTCTTTCATTTGAATCCGTATTTTCGTTCGACGAATCCAAGTTAGGGTTTTCTTTCCAGGTACCTAAAAAACAGCGACAATGGCAAGAGCCACCCTGAGCCGTCTATTCTCATCGATCTCCGAGCTCTCCATCCCCAAACCGTCTTTAAGTAGTGTCACATCAGAGCCAATGACTCTGTTCGGATCCACCTCGGCGAGTCGGTTCATGTGTTGCTCTGCTCAGCAACCTCAATTGAACCATCAAGAAAGAAGCAACGAGGAAAAGCGCGAAGCGGTGAAGGAGGATCCTGAAATTGAGAATAAGGAAAAAGAAGAAGATGATGATGAAGATGGGGATCATGTGAATAAACAGACGGGTGAGGTCGGGGGGCCCAGAGGCCCTGAGCCCACTCGCTACGGTGATTGGGAACGCAATGGTCGCTGCTACGACTTTTGATTCTTTCTTTTCCTTTTACTTTATATATATACATTAAGAATGTTAAAGAGAAGTGTTGTAATTGTGAGAATAAATTCAAACTTTTATCTGTGGAATTTCTGGGGTTACTTTTGCCTCTTATTATCTCAACTGGGTTCAGTTCTTTGGTTTTTTTTAACTACTTTAAAGTCAATTTTCAGATGTCCAATGTCATCATGTCATGCTTGATAAGCATTCACGCGTTATTGATCATTAATTTGATAACATTATTGTTAGATTTTTTCATATGAAGTCAAGATGATGAATTTCCTATCAGTGTCTTTAAGTGGTTTCATACTCTTTGATAGATTCTGGGCTTGGAAAGTAAACGAAGTCATTAAAAGCAGGGTGGCTATCACCCATTCGACCATTTGCTGAAAAATTCATAGTCAATTCCCATTAGCCATTGCCTCCTCCAACTTCTTTTTTCCAATGATCAGCCTAACATCCCAACTTCTCAAGTCTCAACTGTGTACCTCGTGCTTGTTCAATTGTTTTTATTTAGTGCAAATATGCTATTTGGCATCACGTTTTAATGTCTTATAGAGATTCTATTAGAATTTTGGGATTTTGGGTGGACTCTGCAATCATTGATCCTCATCTTCGTTTTTCATGTGTTAATAGAGATTTGTAGTATTAACTTTGATCTGTGCTCTTGTGTTAGACTTTGTATTAACTGTTTGTGTTATAAAATTATTTATATATATATTTGCTAGGCTAAAATTATATTATCATTGATTAAAATTGCCAGAATTTTTATTTTTTTGGTGGGCTCCAAATGTTATGATCTTGAACTGTCTTTTTCTTTTTATTTAAGGATTTAAGCTGCTTCAAACGAAGCAGTTGGGCAGGTTGACTTCCCCGATGGACATCAGACATCAGGTGGAGCCGAGTTTCATTTCGAGCTTTTGATATTCTACTCATATTATTAGTGTGGTAGTCTGGTAGCTTTTCATTCCAAGCGTGTTCAACATGGACATTCTCAAAATCTTCTCCCATCTCCTCTTCTTTATCTTCTTCTTCTTCTGCTCCTACTTGCACACTACAACAAGCACAGATACATGCATAGGAGCCATGTGTCGCAGCACCGAGCCAGTGATTCGATTCCCTTTCCGGATTGAAGGCCGGCAGTCTAAGTCTTGTGGCTATCCAGGTTTTGATTTATCTTGTGATAGCTCAAACCAGACGATACTCGAGCTGCCTTACTCTGGAAATTTCAGTGTCCAAGGGATAGACTATGCTGCACAAGAAATTTGGATCAATGATCCCAACTGCCTTCCTCAAAGAATTCTTTCGCTTAACCTTTCTGGTTCTCCATTTAATGGTGTTTATTATCAAAATTTTACGTTCTTCAATTGCTCGTTAGGCTATTTGAAGTATCGATTAAATCCAATTGCTTGCCTTAGTGGTGGTAACTACACGGTTTTCGCTAGTTCGTCAACAACAG